TGTCGTGGGAACTAGATATTAGATTCTTCTCAGGGCCTTCTAAATTCTCCTGCAACCTAGATCTGATAGAGGATGCTCTCTAATCATTATTGCTGGTACAACATTACATTTCAGTTTGTCCTGGGAAGGAATGTCATTTTAGCCTTGCCTCAGTCCACTAAACATCATGAGAAAGACCTTGGAAGCTCTTATTCATGATCTGATCAAAATAAATTTGGCTTCAAGGGCTTCACACACAAAAAATACAAAATCGCTCAATATGAACAAGCCAAGATTCATTTTATTTCCTGGTGTATTTCTTTCACAGGGTTATATTTCACTGATGTGTCTCTAAGCAGAGAACCACCAAACAATATTGCAATTATAATCATTATAATCATGAGGCATTACAATGCAACTATAAATAGCATTCCAGTGATGTAAAAAGTATTTCAGATCATCCTTGATACTGCAACGTTCTTACAGAGCCACCATTTATGGACTATGAATCCCTCTGTGATGACCCAGGGCGTGGCACAAAGGCAACACAGTCAAATAAGCAAGAAGAGTCCCTTTATTATCTCCAAGTTTGCCCCCAATGTCCAGGTTACCTTCGGCTGGAGAAAAACTCTGCCAGGAACAGTCTTTAAGTTGAGGAAATTCAATCCCAAAACAAAGTACATACAAACTGCAACTAAAAATCCAAACAAGCCACACTGCAATAATTAATTTGACAGGGCAGGAGAAGGAATTATAGACTTGAAAGCACAGCCAAAACACACACAGTTGGGAAGACACCAGGAACACAGATAAGCTTCCACGATACCAGATAATTCACGATTTGCTCCCAACTGTTTGCTATGAGCAACTTCCCTTCCCTAAACACTGTGTTTACAGCTGCAGCTAATGAAGGGAATCAAGGCCTTTTCCTCCCCTGTAAGCCATGCAACTCACGTTGTTCCCTTCTCCGTTCCTCCCTGCATGCCTTAGGGTGAAGAGGGAGTGGGCTTGAATCTTCCTCCGAATTCTGTCTCCTTTGCTCTATCTCTCCCCTGCTCTGCCCAGCTGGACTTTGCCCTTCCCCAGTTTCTTCCACAGCCAATGGAGCACACTCCCTGTCAGCTGCTCGGCCTCCCCCTCCGAATCAGATTCCAACAGGGGCATGACACCCTCATTACCCATTCCCAATAGTTTTTTTGAAAGAGCCATATTTTCAATAATTTCCTAAATGATAGGAACCAGGGTGCTGAATATTTGTTTGTTTGTTTGTGTCACATTTATACACAGATCATCCTCAACCTACAACTGTTCATTTAGTGAGCATTCCAATGGTGCTGAAAAAGGTGACTTATGACCATTTTTCACTATTACGACCGGTGCAGCATCTCCAAGGTCATGTGATCAAAATTTGGATGCTTGGCAATCGGCATGTTTTTAGGATGGTTGTAGTGTCCTGGGGTCATGTCATCACTTTTTGAGACAAAAAAAAAATCAATATGGAAGTCAGATTAACCTAACAACAACTGCAGTGAGGATACAAACCCTGAGGACACAAATAAACCTCCGAATGACCTCAATGACTCTCAGAAAGAGTGCTAATGACCAGATGACTGCAACAAATATAAATCCTTCCATCCTCCACCATTCAGTCAGAACTGAAGAAGCTTTTTGGATGAGAAGTGTGTCAGAGTATATTCATGAACTGGAATAGAACACGGTAACAAGATCAGCCAATGAATAGGCATAGCAACTAAATCAGCCAATGAGGACTGTTTTGGAAACTGAAACTAGAAGTAGCCTAAGTTGGAAACTGAAACTAGAAGTAGCCTAGGCATGGGGTCATGCCATCACTTTTTGAGAGAAAAAAAAATCAACGTGGAAGTAAGATTAACCTAACAACAACTGCAGTGATTCATTTAACAACTGAGGCAAAATGGGGTGAAACACACTTAACAAGTATCTTGCTTAGCAATAAAAAATTTGGGCTCAGCTTCTACTTCTGAGGTGAGTTTCTGCTTCTGAGTTTCTACTCTTTTTAGGGAAAATATTCTGCCTTTTTAATATTTCCCAGGATATTTCATTTTTCTAGGAGAGGCGTGGAGGGTGCTAACTCCCTACAGCAAGTATCACCCTCTGATGATTAGTCTTCATCAGGTGGCATGGCTGGTTGGTAAAGCTAATCATCTTTAGACAAGTATTACTGGTGACTTTGTAAATTCAAAAAAAGTCCCAGGAATTAAAATAATACATGTACTCCTTGACTTACAAGAGTTCCTTTAGTGACTGTTTTGAAATTACAACGGCAAGGAAAAAGTGACTTCTGACCCTTTTTCACAATGATGACGGCGGCAGCTTCTGAGCAGTCATGTGATCAAAATTCAGGCACATGTCAACAGGCTCATATTTATGACGGATGCAATGCCCTGCAGTCATGCCATCACCTTTGGCAAAGCAAAGTCAATGGGGAAGTCAGATTCACTTAACAACCGTCTTACTTTCCTAGTTGATTCACTTAACAACTTTCTTTTTTAACCAGGTGAACCTGCCTATACAAATTCTAAGTGAAAGGAAAGATAGAAAGAGCAGAGCGACTGTCAGTCTGTGCTCCATTCAAAATCCAAGAAAGAAACACTTAGACTCCATAGATTAGAGAAAAGAAATCTTTTACTGAAAATTGAAGTGGTAGCTTCAGATAAAATTCTGAATCTAAGAAATTAGGCGCGCAGATCACATATACAAAGGGATGGAATTGTTCCCACCCCCCAAAGTTCAAAAGATTCTTCCAATTAAAAGTTCTGGATATGGTCATGTGGGCATCTTCAGGTGGTGATGAGGCCTCTGTCCGTTGACCTTGACATATTTTGATAAAGATTTGCAGTTGCGCAAAGAAAAGAAGGCTAAGCAAGGAATAGAAACTTAAGAGCAGGAATTTATACTCCCCCCCCACTCCTCATTTATACAACACAAGAATGTAACACCTCCAGCTCTCTTCCCAGACATATCCCCTCCCCCTGTTACTTATGGCAGCCAAAAGATGCAAAGCAGTAGAAAAGATCTTGAAGGCTGACATTCGGCCCTCCTAGAAAAAAGACGTTAGTCCTGTAAGAGAGAACAACATAAAAAATACTGGTTAACAGTCATATACATTTCTAGGGTTTATCAGGATACTTTGTGCGAAAGTCTTTGATCAGCTTAGGGGCTCTAACATCCTTCTCATTGACCCATTCAGCTTGGGAAGATGGGAAATGTTTCCAAGCAACGAGGTATTGGGGACGACCCTTCCATTTACGAGAGTCCAAAATCTCTTTAACTTCAAAGTGTTGTTCACCCTCAATCAGCAATGGTATAGGAGGATCAGTTTGGGGGGGTCTCAAACCAGAAGTGTGTTCAGGTTTCAACAAACTAACATGGAAAACCGGGTGAATTCGTCGAAGAGTTTTTGGTAGTGTCAATTGGACCATCACAGGATTTACAATTCGTTCAATTGTGAAAGGACCTACATACTTAGGGCCAAGTTTCTTCGACTTTTGAGTGGTTTGTAAGTATTTGGTGGACAGGAAAACTTTGTCACCCACTTGATAGGACTTCTGTGGAGTTTTCTTTTTATCTGCAAACTTCTTATGAGATTGATGTGCATCATCTAATGCTTTACGGGCGACTGGCCAGTTAAGTTGGAGTTGAGATATCCATTTGTCTAGTGACTGGATGTTAGGTCTTTCACGAGGAAGCTCAGGTATGGGTACAAAGTCTTGTCCCGACGCCACCTTAAAGGGGGTGAACCCAGTACTACTATGGACGGAATTGTTGTATAGCACCTCGGCAAATGGCAGTAAGTCAGCCCAATTATCCTGTTGATAATTTATGTAACACCTGAGGTATTGTTCTAACACTGTGTTAGTTCTCTCACAGGCCCCATTGGTTTGGGGATGGTGGGCAGAGCTTAAGCCCTGGGCAGAGCCTATTAACTTCAAGAATTCCCTCCAAAAGTTCGAGGTGAATTGAACCCCTCGGTCAGAAATTATACGTTCAGGAACACCATGCAGTCTATAGATATGTAGTATGAATAGTTTAGCCAACGATTTTGCCGAGGGAATCTTAGAGCAAGGTATGAAATGCACTTGTTTGGAGAACAAATAGGTTACTACCCAAATAACCGTATGTCCAGTGCTCTCGGGTAACTCCACTATAAAATCCATAGAAATTTCCTTCCAAGGAGCGGTTGGCCTGGCCACATTCTGTAACAGCCCAGCTGGCTTACCAGGAGGCAGGCGCAAACTGAGCAGCTAGCCACATAAGTCTCAATGTCCTTTTTCAACGAAGGCCACCAAAATTGTCGCTTAACGAGGTGTAAGGTCTTCACAAACCCAAAGTGACCAGCCGCTTTGGAATCATGGGCCTGTTGCAATATTTGGCTTCTCAATGTCTCTGGTACATACAGTTTCGCTCCCATCCAGGCCAAACCATCTCTAACTGTACAGTTATTTGAATGCGCCAGGAACCACTCATCCAGTTTCAGGGCTTCCTTTAATTGCTCCGTCAAATCACTCGACAAATCCGCTTCTTGCTTCTTCTTTTGCGCTCTAGTGACCACCGGGGCGGCCAGCTGTTTGGTTGAAACAATCGGCCATATCACTTCCTGACGAATACTGTTATATTGAGGCAGTCTAGATAAAGCATCCGCCATAAAATTCCTTCCCCCCGGGATGTACTTCAGTGAAAAGTTGAACAGCTTAAAATACTGGGCCCACCGAACTTGTTTAGGGGACAGTTTCCGAGGCGTCTTTAAGGCCTCCGAGTTCTTATGATCAGTCCATACCTCAAACGGGTGTTTCGTTCCTTCCAAGAAATGTCTCCATGTCAATAGAGCCCAGCGAACAGCAAAAGCTTCCTTTTCCCAGACAGCCCACCTTCTTTCGGTTTCAGTCAGTTACGGGAGGTGTAGGCGCAGGGTTGTAGAGTTCCCTTTTCATTGATTTGAAGTAGGACCGCTCCAACTGCCACATCACTCGCATCAGCTTGGATCACGAACGGGGCATCCATGTCCACTGGATTGAGGCTCCAGTCTCTTCGGGGGCGTGGGTTCGAATCCCATCGCTGCCACCATTCAGGCAAGGATTAGGTGTACAATCATCAATCTCTATGTTGCATAGAGGACCTGTGAAGCCAGGTTTGCAGATGCAGTCGTAACGATTGATGCCATCACGGCAGTTCCTATAGTCACAAGGATTGCTGGCACAGTCATCAAAATTTATCTCGCAGTTAGCACCTGAGGTCCCTGGCTGACAGTGGCAGAGGTACTTATTTACTAGGTCAATACATTTGCCTCCGTGCTGACAGGGATTACTGTGGCACTCATTGATCTGGTTCTCACAGCGATACCCAGTGTAACCAGCCACACATATATGAGTAAAGCTGGCAATGCCATCTACACAATTGCCATGATGGCAAGGATCTGGGGAGCAGTCATCTATGTTTTTTTCACACAAAACCCCTTCAAAACCTTTTGTACAATGGCATTCATAAGCATTGGGCCTATCCACACACTTGGCACCATTCTGGCATGGGGTGCTGGGGCACTCATCAATGTCTATTTGGCACATAGAACCTGAGAAGCCTGAGGGGCAGGTGCAACTGAACCCATTGACCATATCCTTGCAGACACCCCCATTGACACAGGGATTGCTTTCACACTCACTGATATTTATCTCACAGTAAGTACTACTGAAACCTGACATGCAGATGCATGTGAACTCTCCAATACGGTCAAGGCAGGTAGCATCATTCTGGCAAGGCATGGAGAGGCATTCATTGATGTCTGTCTCACAGCGTGGACCTGTATAACCACGTCCACACTGGCACTGGAAGGGGCCTTGTGTGTTAACACATTTGCCAAAATGCTCACATGGATTAGCTCCAATGGAGCATTCATTCACATCTTGATCACAGGCTCTGCCAGTAAAACCTGGTGGGCAGGTGCAGATACTCTCCCAAGTATTTAATGGGCATATCTATGGAGATTCTCAGTCATCCAGGTCACGGTTGTCCCAAAGGAGCTTTTTCAGCAGGCAACTAGACTTTGTTTTTTCCTTGAAGATGTTTCACTTTATTCAGAGTTTTGCAGTGTGAATTCAGCTCCAGAAAAATAAACACAGGTGGCTGATGCTTCATTTAATGACTTTATAAACATCTAAAGTAAATTTTACAATACCAGTTGTAGATTTCTCCAACATGGAGCAAACTCAAACAGAAGTAGGCATGTTACAAGTTCAGAGCTTCAGCAGCAACTCAGGAGCTCAGAAACAGACATCAGTTTCACTTTAGTTCAGCAGGCAAGCAAGACACACAGCAGAGGAGAGAAGCAGTTTCATTTTTAATAGACAGATTCAGAGCTTAACATACTGTAGCTTCAGAGCTGCAGAGCTTAATATAGAGCCACGCCTAGGCTACTTCTAGTTTCAGTTTCCAACTTAGGCTACTTCTAGTTTCAGTTTCCAAAACAGTCCTCATTGGCTGATTTAGTTGCTATGCCTATTCATTGGCTGATCTTGTTACCGTGTTCTATTCCAGTTCATGAATATACTCTGACACACTTCTCATCCAAAAAGCTTCTTCAGTTCTGACTGAATGGTGGAGGATGGAAGGATTTATATTCGTTGCAGTCATCTGGTCATTAGCACTCTTTCTGAGAGTCATTGAGGTCATTAGGAGGTTTATTTGTGTCCTCAGGGTCATCTGAATAGTGCAAATGGGTGTGGAAACTTCTTGGAACTGCTGAGAGGACTGTGTTGTAAACAGGACCATGGTGGGCCATTCATGCTGATATCAAAGAAACCAGTGGTGGGATTCAAATTATTTTACTACCGGTGTTGTGGGTGTGGCTTAGTGGGCTTGGTGTGGCTTGGTGGGCATGGCTTGGTGGGTGTGGCAGGGAAAGGATACTGCAAAATCCCCATTCCCTCCCCCCTCCTGGGGGAAGGATACTGCAAAATCCCCATTCCCTTCCCACCCCACTAACCTGCTTTCCAGCTCCCTTCTCTTGTGCAGGGCAACAAAAGGAGACCCAGCCAATCAGCTGGGACTCAGGAGGCATAGAATAGGTGGGGGCGGGGCCAGTCAGAGGCGGTTTTTGTCAGTTCTCTGAACTACTCAAAATTTACGCTATCGGTTCTCCAGAACTCGTCAGAACCTGTTGAATACCACCTCTGAAAGAGCCCATAACTCATTGCCTTGTCCATATATGAAGAAAATTATAACAATGTCCCCTAGGAGACCAGAAAATTCTAGAAGTTCTGTCAAGTATGTGAATCACATTTCAATCTCGCCATACAATCTCTCCCCATTATTTGGAAAGCACCCTATTCAGCAGGATGCCTCAAATCTATTTGAAGATTCCACCCCAAATTTCAGCTTTGAAGTTTTGATTAAAACAAGCAATTTGATAGAATCTCCTTCAAGCAGAACCACTTCCTTTGAAGCCCTAATTAAAACAATTTCACCGAAAATAGCTTTTTTTTCCCTTTGAAATAACGTCGAATTATTTTCCGTTCAAGCAAATGAAAAGAGGTAGAGAAAAATGAGAACACATGTTTATATTTTTTTCTTTGTTTTTCATATTCATGTAGCCTCTTGCTTTTATTGGCCTGACCGACAAAAGAATAACATACCACCCAAAACGCAACACCTGTCTGTATTCATATTTGTCTCCCTGCCCTCTCAAACCTTTAGCTTGTAACCTGTCATATTCTACAAAAAGTGTTGAAACCTGATGTGAGAAGAGTTTATTAAAATGCTCCACAACCATTGTTTAACAAGGCTTTAATTGTTATTTTAAAAAAGGTGGAGTTAACAAGTTGTAAATGTGTTTTCCAAAGCACCCTTGCTACTTCTAATTGATGCTGCCAATGGAAAATCATCACTACATGAGGAATAATTATAGCCTGTTTAGTGCTTTCTTTCTTTCTTTCTTTCTTTCTTTCTTTCTTTCTTTCTTTCTT